GAAAAGTTAAGTGAAGTGAAAACTGCGTGGTTAGTTAGCTATCGGACAGGTGTAAATTCGTCGGACAATGCCCAATTCGACATGTTGCGCAGGTAATATTGGGCTTCTTCGATAAAATTTTAGCGGGGTCATATTTCTGTTAATTAACGCAGACAAGTATCGCTTTATTCTTGTAAATAATGGCACAATTATTAGGATCCATACTCATTTACAATATCATATTCCACATTTACATATCTGGAGGCATATAATCGTTAGTATGCAAAATTCGATAAAACGAACCGTCTTGCGATATTTTGATTATAGTTGTGGCGTTAACTTTGCCATCATGTCTTTARCCAGAAAATGTACAGAGTATTGAAAACCGRAGTTTTTTCGATAATCTTTATATACTCTATTGTATTTWAATTTTTGTKTTATTTAGGRTTTTGTTGGCCATAACTCTGTTTTGTTGGCCTGAATATRTTACAATATTTTTTAAAACTTGGAACATTCGTTGCAAGATACGCAMATCAATTMTTCTTAACAAAARCCGACCKCTCCATGAAMGTGATCTGAAATGCTCCTCAAAYATTYTYCTTYTCGCTATCTCTCGAYTYGCTATTATTTTTTGCACTCGAYAAATCAGTAGAGTGGAAGACAWTTAARTCACTTTCGYATGAAACCAAAGTCCATGTTGTTATTTAGCTTAARTTCAWTTTTTYCTCTACATTTMTAGAAKGTTTCCAARTMAATTAAMTTAAATTAGTTAATGTCTCTACTGAGTAGCAGCTGCCCARATTTTTCAAGATGGAATATAAAATTTAGATTCGAAAAAAAATTCTAGTTTTGTTGAGTCASTTTCTTGTAKYTTTCCATCGAACCAGGAAAAGTRGAGCTAGAAAAACGTAAATTTCTTTAAATTAAAAATCTGGATGCTAAAAAAGCCCCGGAACACGACAAGACGAATTCTTATTTGAAAACATTCTAATCTGTTGGAAATCATACTCAGTAGAACCTTTGCATTTAGGGAATCCACTTACGTTATAAAGAATTTCTATAAAAATCTATTTACAAAAATTCCCCATCTTGCCTTTGCATTTTTCTAAATCGCGGGAAAACTATTCGGTCGCTCAAGGCTCCTCGTTTGTCCAAACTCTTCACAATTGGACCAAATTGGTAAATTTTTATAACCTGTTTTTGTTAACCTTCATGATACCCATTTGTGGACATTTTTTTGATTAAATTGCGAATAGCCAGTCCACAATGTGAATAATTTGGTGTTTATTAGAGACACTTGTCTTGTGCCTACCACTCGGATATTTTTTTTCCATTTTGAACATAAAATGTGCGTTTGAAAGCCAATTAAATTGCCCAAAATCCATTTTTAAACCAACCATCAGGAGTGACTTCCAAATATAAGAAAATCTGAAGCTTGTTTGGTGCTAATGGCACTTCTTAGTCCTCTGGTTTACCTAGTGCTGATGCCAGATCTGTACGAAAGATGTACAAAATTGATAAGTTGAGTAGCAGGAGGCGTTTAAAATGCGGCGTTCATTAGAACTTCGCCTTTTGACAATAAATACAAGGCAATAATAACTTGTTTATGATCGGCAATTCTAAATTTAATACTATTTAGGTCGTTTAAGTATTTCTATTTGAAAATTCCTGATCGTATCGCTAGTTGCTGCTCGTTTTGGGTAACAATTTGGATAAGGCAGTCGACTTTATTTGAACATGCTGAGAATTGGTAGACAGAGGACAAGGATTTATACATTTTTTCTTCTAAAGTTTACGGTCTTCTGGCCTTTCTAGTCAGTTATTGAGCTTAGTTTTTCAATATCCAAATCATCGACATCTGACGGATTGGTTTTAGCCTGCAATTTTAAGCATTGAAGCWAWTTTTTTTATTTTGTTGCTGATTCAGGTATAAGTTTACAAAACACTTATGGCTATTTGAGACGATTTTTCATGTTGCGAAATTAATCGCGTATTTGGTTCTGACTTTTTTCTCRATTTTTWAATTTCTCCGTTTTTCGTTTTGCATCCTSAGCTGGACCTTCTTTCTTCATTTTTTCTGCTATTTTTTCCTGCTTTTCTCTCTCCGTCTTTTCATTTTCCCTTTTGGRCTGCTGTTTTCACAGTTCCACTCTCGGCAGGATCCTTTCCTAGCTATTAATCGCCAGCTAAATTAATCGCGTATTTGGTTCTGACTGATTTYTTCGATATTTTAATTTTCTGCAGCTCTCTTATTATTTGCTAATTTTTCAAAAAATCCATGATTTATTCTTTCCAAAAATCATCGTGGCTCACAATTAAAATTTTRAATACGTTTGTTCACTCGGTTAGCAGTTGTATAGGGAAATKATSGTCATTTTTCGAATAATTTCTAAGAGAGTACTTTTTTGAAAGCTCCTCTTTAAAGTCAGGATGTACAGRTACTGATACTTTCATGCCTACCATATTTCTTGAGCACTTTTCTCAGTTATAATGAGCAGTTTTTAAGAAATGAACTAATAATCCSGGAGAAGCAAAAGTTTGCATATTGCTGTGTAGTGCCGTGTGTTGCAGAGGAAATTCAACTGAATAAACTCTAATAGCCAGAAATTAATAAAATGCTATGAGAAATAAAGTAAAGTTTCAATTGTAAACATTATTAAGTGATAAAGTTGATAGGAACTCAAGGAAAATTAAAACAATAAAACTCGCATGTTGTAGATTTTTTTAGCAGAAAATATGTTGAATTTGAGTTGCGTAGAGAAAAGCTACATTCGGAACAAGTTATTTGAGTCCTAGTAGCTTTCTTTCTTTGTTAAACTAAACATTGTTAGAATCAAAAAAATGAAAAATTCCATGTGTAAGTAATTTTTCTTCAATCAACCATCAGTTTATATTTTTATTACTGTTCTGTTGAATTATTATTTCATTTGGGTCACACGATGGTGCTCTATGCGCTCCCTTCAACACCCGCGCAACGCTCCTCTTCCCCTTGTCATGCTAAAACAAAGGCGTGATTTAAGTGAATATTTTGCTGCATTTAGTCCAGCGCCAACAGCGTTATTTCGCAAGACTTCTGCACGCTCCTTTAATCTCACACTTAATAAAAAACGATTACCAACTGAAGTTTTTCAGTCATCATCTGTTTCCATGCTATCTATTAAAAAAAAACGTTTCTGTTCGAAATAGATAGTTTTACTGAAAAAACGATTACAAAATTTGCGATCAGAAAAGAACGAAAACTGGACTTAATTGAAAAAAATAGACAATTACAATTTTTGCCACGAGCCGCTACTGTGCGTTCTTTGAAATTTGTGTCAGTTTGCCCAAAAGTATCGATTAGCGAGCTTAAAAATCAAGTTACCCATATTTACACAAACTTTCGTCTATACTGTATTTTATAATTMAAAAACTGATTAMRATWTCTTAATACTCTYCATTTTATAGAATGATCATCGGTAGGAATTTTCGTGAAAATTTGTCTTTTAAAGTTGTGTGYTTTATGATTTAATTATTTTYAAGATAAATTTGCGTGAATCCAAGTGACGCTAATGCATTTCCCGATATTAACAATTCTTTTAAAAAGTGAAAGAAATCCTAACTAGTGAGTCATTAGGTTTCAGAGGGAATAATAGATTCTTGTTCCAGTGTCAAGTTTGCGGAGTTTCAACTTTTTCGTTTTTAACAAGAATGTGCCCATAAATTTGTCTTTTGAATGGAAAAGTTTTGCTGCATGTCTTCCAAATATTTCGTTCGTCAAACCTTCAATTTATAAGCAATATTTATCAAGCATTTTGAAACTTGAATCATTTTCGAAAGCGTCCAGGTTTCCTTCCCGCATTCAGTTTCCAAAAATCCAAATGCAATCCTAGTATTCGACTCTTTCGATTTTATAGAGAATGATCAATTGTATGATTCGTTACAGTTTGCTAGTCGGTTCCTCATCAGGTATTTTTTATGAAGGTTTCCTCAAATTCCTCAAAATAGCCTTTCTTTGGCAATTATTTTTAACCGAAGCGCAGCAAATGCGACGTTTTAGTCTTCAGTTGGACACTAAATGTATGCTCAATATTCCGAAACTGTAAACTCTGATTATATGCGATTGTTTTTCGACATCTCAAGATAGCTGTTGTTTCGGAAATTCATTTATAAAATTTCTTTACAGGTCGAAACTTACCTTTCCCTTATCGCATTTGGATGTGAAAATTTTGCATTTGAGCGTTCAAAAGAAGAACCGTTCTTTTTTTGAGAAAATTATTTATCCCTTCATTTTAAAAATATCTCTAGCGAAACTGATTAGGACGATTCTTCCTGGTACAAGAAATGCTTTTTTTTGTACAGGAAATTAGGTTGATCCAACTCAAAAACTTCAGTTTTATATCAATTGCAAATATAAGAATTCTTCAATTTTCATCAGCTTTGTATGAAAAATTTGAGATTTGTAATTGTAGCTTGCTCTTATTGAGGTTAGTCGATAATACATTACATTCAAGCTCATATTTTAGTAGTAATTCAGGAAATTTTGAATTTTTTTAAAGTATTTGCCCGCAAGAACTAGTAAGCTCCAAATTCAAGCTTAATTTCTCCAAGATCAGAAAAACGAAGACACATGTGTAAGCTCGGAAATGATCATTCCTTCGCAACTCACCCAAATTCTAAGCTTCTGGTCTTGAGTTCAAATTGAAAAATGCGTTAAGTTTTGCCCCAAAAATATCAGATAAATTTGCCATCTAATGCATTCTATCATTGATGAAAGTAATTGAGCCATCTTCAGGCACTTTGTTAGACACACTTTTCATTAGAAGTAAATTTCTTTGAAACCAAGTCTTATGTAAATCTACGTTATGCTGCTTTAAGGCAAGAGAGGCCAGTTGTTTAATCGTGGAAAATTAAGCTTTTAAATATTGATAAGTCTTTTTTATGAACACGAAAGCGGTTTTAACGATGTTCTGATATTTTGCTTAGAGGCCACACGTGTTCTTCAGGTTATATTTGATGAAGGACAATAAATAAAACTCTAAACGCAAATGTTCAATTTCTTTATTCAAACATAGTTCAAAAAGGTGACAAAATCTCACACATTCAACCATCATCGAACATAAACTGGCCCTGGTCCCCGACATTAACTGCGCCTGACAAATCAGCTAAACATCACTATTCAACTGATACGCCAGCCACTATTAAAGATCATTTACGCATACTTTCATAGTAATTTGTATAAAAATAATCACGTTTATTGCCTAACTAGATAAATGGAAAACAATGCCCTTTAGCCTTAGGTGAATGCTGGGGCTACAACAAATTGCACTGCACCAACTCCTAAAAAGTGTACAAAGCATTGCGAATAAATTAAGTACAAATAGCAATAGGATTATTTATACAATGAATATTTACAAATAAGAAAAAAACATAACTACAATTAAGAAACAAAGAAAATAATAACAAAAATAATAACTGGAGAACTTAGACTGTGTGTGTGTGTGGGTATGGGTCTACTGGCCACTCAATTTGCTTTAACTCTAATATCACTAAGATTAAAACTACGAATTTGTATAAAATAACTGTATGTACACGCACTTACGGCTAACAACTTATCTACAACTTTTTTCATTATACGCAGGCTGTTGTTTAAGTGCGTGGCCGAAGTTCAGGAGGTCACTTTTTTGCAATAAAAATGGTTTTCGTAAATAACTTCATTAATTTGTCGTCGAAAAATCCACTGTTTTCGGATTTCCCAGCATTCAATACCGCTTTTTTGTCTTTTGATCCCTTTTCATATCACGCTTCGTTTTGGAGATCAAAAATAAAAACCATTTTGTTTCAAGTATATGTCTGGTACAAGGATACCTGATTATATAAAAATAAAATGTCGAATACTTTATTATTTAACCCAGTATATTGAAAAGGAATAATTCCAGACTTTCCTGCTTAATATCACCTGCTGAAGTCTGGCGATTCACGTAAAGAACAGCCTGTATACAGTACATAAATTTCACTGATACTAATTGGGCGTTTATTGGTTTCGTTGATTTCTTCTGGTCAGATCAAGCGGCGACCGGTTCGCTCCACTGTCCCTTCTTGAGGAGTCTGTATCACTTGAATCTCCAGCGCTTCCATGACTCCTTTCGGATAACGTTGTTGATCGTTCTGAGCGCGCAGGCGAAGAACCTCGTTCACTGGTAGGTCTCATGCTCAGATCTATGGGGCCTTCTTCCACAGGACTCCTGCTGGGAGTGGGCACTGGTGTCTTAACCTCGACCTCCTGTTCTGAAGGTGATGAAGGTGGTGAGGAACCGCGCTGCTTCTGCAGCACCGCATCCAAATACTCTCTCTTCATCATGCTTTCCAGAATCGGTGCATGATTTCCCAGAAGGTTCTCGTTGTTGTTGTTGTTGTTGTTGTTGTTCAAGTATAGGGGCGAGGACGGAAAAAGACCAGGGTAAAAGTGCGAGTAACCGGGAGAAAACATGAAATTCGGATGGGGAATGAAGTTGGGTGGGATGAGTCGTTGCATCATCGGCAATCTTCGTGCATCGGATAGTTCAATCGAGGAGTCCGAATTGTGGGACTCGGGACTGCTGATGGACGGTGAAGTTGAGTGCCTGAGCGACTCTGAGTCCCTTCTTAAAAGCCTCAATTCATCTCGCGTTCTATTCAAGTCGAGAATCGAAGGCCCGTAGGCGCTGGACGCCAGAAAGCCAAGTCCAAGCGGTTGAGGATTTCCAGGATTTGGAGCCGGAATCCGGTTTGCCAAATGCTCCTGGTGGCATTCTTCCTGGCCACCATTTTCCAACTTCGGCATTTGTCGCTGCTGCTGATGCTCCTGAAGAAGGCAGTGGATCTTGAACCAGTTGGATCGTCTGCCATATCTGGAACCGCTTTTCGACATTCCAACTACTATGCACTTCCGAAGGCGACACGCCTTGCAGGAAGTCCGAGTTTTCTTATTGATCACACAACTGTTGCCGTTCTTGCATTCGTTCACAGCGTTGACGTTGTTGTAGGATCGCCCAAAAAACGACTGAAACAACAGAAACAAACCATTAGCTGATTTTGCTACGTTTTAAGCAATAAATATTGTTGACAAATATGGTTGATCTTGGACATGCTCTGGTAACGAGCGACCTTAACAATTTGGCGCTTTTCTATAAAAACAATGATCTACTTAACAGTAACCTGTTTGATAAAGGACTGTTTCATTTTTGACCGACTATGCGTGAAATTGAACCAAAATGCTTGATTCAATATTGCCAAATGTTGTCAATTAATATTTTAAGTTCGGTCAAGCGTCGGAAAGATGATCGATTCATTGCCAAATCATTTCTTCCCAACTCGTACTGAAATAGGAGGTTTTGAGATTATCAGTAGTTCACTGATGTTTTTAAATACATTTAGTTTGTTGTTCAGTTCTAGTTCGCCATTTTACAACTAATTAGCCCAATTATCTGCTATTATTTCAAGCTCGTTCAAGCTTTGGAAAGAAGAGGTTTGCCAGCTCTGGGCAATAGGGGATTTTGAGATAATCAATAATTCACTGTTTTTTTAATTAATTATATTTTGTTCTTCTGTCCTAGTTCTTGCTTTATAACATTTTGATCTAATTGTCCGTTAATGTGTTAAGCTTCCTCAAGCATCTAGCATTTTCTTCCCAACTCTGGGTATTTTGAGATTCAATCGTTCACTGCTTTTGTAATTTAATTATATTTTTTCTTCTGTCCTAATTTTGCGCTTTACAAGATTTGCATCCAATTGACAGCTACAACTTTAAGCTCCTTAAAGCATCAGAAAGAAGATCGACTCTTTGACTAAAGACATTTTTCGTCCCAACTCTGAGCAAAGCTTTCAAGTTAGAGATTATCAATTGTTCACTCTGGTTTTAGTTCGATATATTTTATCGCTTTGTTATAGATCTCCTTATCGTCATTTTTTTAGTGACTAGGTTAATTACCATCAATTTCTGTTTCGATAAAAAAATGATCTCTGAACGTCGCTGTGGAGTGTTCTGTTTCTCGTTAGATACATTTTATTGTGTATTTTTTATTGTTAATGTATTATTGCAAATATCACATTTTCCAGTCCTTATAATCTGAACTAGTGCTTACTTTGCCTTATTAGAAGTGATAAAAATTATTTATAAAACAATTGTACACGATTCTTATGATTTTTAGGAACAATTTACATTTAAACCTTTGGTTTTCTCAACATTTTTCAAAAATTGAATTAGTGTTTACTTTGTAGTAGTGATTAAAATGATTTATAAACAATTATACAGGATTCTTACGATTTTTAGAAACAATTTACATTTAAGAATTTGGTGTTTCTAAAAATTTGCATTGATTTCACTGAGTCAAAAGTTTCATTTACATGATGAGGAGATGTGATCTGATGTAACTTTACATTAAATTCCAAACATAAAAGTTCATATAAACATGGATCGGCAAAGGCTGGGGGACAGGGCGATAAAGGATAGTTAAAAAAATAATTTCTCAAACAGTTCTTGGTATTTTAGTTACATTTTTAAGACACTCTCGGTCATTTAAGAACTCAACAGATCAATGGAAAAATACAGTAGAGCCCAATTCCACAATTAACAAAATTTTTTGAAAAAATTGTTTTCTATTTATTCAATTTTCTCTATAGAATTTTGTGAAAAAAGCCTGAAAAAAATTGATATCGCCGGCCATATCCCAAAGAGTTCCGTTGATTGTGTATACAGAAAAAAGGAATACAAAATATAAAAATAATACATCTTTTTTTCAAACGCCCTGTATAAAATGGGAAAAAGTCAACTGCTTCAAACAAGCAATAATTGGAGTAATAAGAAGAAAAGGCGTAAAGAAAATATGAAAAAATATTTCAAAGCCATCCTTTGCCTTCAGTGAAATTCCATCAGAAAATCGAAGGCCTTTTGCTTAATAACGGACGTTTCCGTTTTTAAACCATCATTAGATAAATTCTTGAAAATGGAGATACAATTAAGAAGAATAATATTCCGAAAGTTTATTACTTATTGTCTCATTCTTTCTGGCATAATTTTATGTATATCTCTACGTAACTGTTTCTTCAGTTAATAGAAAAAATAAGCCACTAAATCGAGTAAAGCGCTCAAAAACTAACTTAAATTTTCAATTATAATCGAAATAGTGGCTTTAATTCTACAGCATCAGTTTGTGTGTTTTCAGTACAGTGTCTGTTTTCCCTTCATCATATTTTAAGCGCTTTCATTTCAAATTCTTTTTTATGCAAAAAAAAGTTTTTGCAAAAAAATTGAGGCTTTTAAAATATTAAATGCGATCTTATTAAGTTCGGCCTCCGAAGACCGAATAGTGCAAATCCACTTCTCGGAATGAATCTGTTCAATTAGTCACATTTATTTAATACTTTCTAAAATAGTTTACTATGAGGGGGTAGAATGAAAAAAGCCAAGAAAAGTGAATAAAAAGATTACAGGACCAATTAAAAAACGATTAGGCTGGAAAATAAAAGAAAATAATCAAAAATGAGAAGCAAGCTTAAACAACAAAAACAGAAGTAGCAGCAGTAGCAGCAGCAGCAATCCAAAATTGAAAACAATAACAAAGTTCTAAAAAAAGAGTCAAAATATCGCAATATCCCCATGAACACACGATAATATTGTTGATCCACAATTCCAGTTTAATTTAACAAGTTTTTTTGTTGATATCATGATTATGTTGGTCAACCGCAGATTATCTAAACCAGATCACTGGTTTCGGCTGAAAAAAGTCCCAAAGGTTAAGTTCAGCAGCCATGTCTTGGGCAGCGTGCAAGACATTGCAAAAACGAATTGCAACAGCATGCACTTTTGCGGTTTTCTTGATAAATAGATCACTATTTATGTGCTTCAAGTTTGCAGCCGATTTATGACAATAAGGTTAAGGGCATTGAATGCAACGAACCGTTGAATGGTCAGCGGATTTGCTTGAAAATTGGGTACCACCAGTTTTCATTCAAAGCCATCGATCTCTTCCTTTGAGCTTCAAACAAGCTGGCCTGGCGGGTAATTAATTCCGTGCAAGATTCAATGACACATCTTCAGCCGTTCGGGGCAGACGATTTTAGAGGCGCGTGCCTGTTCGGCATAACAAATTTCGCTCTGACAGAGTGTGAAAATTCAATTGAAAGGCACATTGCTTCCGGTCTTACGTAATCCAATCATCATTTACACGCTCTAGTTGGTTCGGTTTGAAGCAGATCTGCAGGCACGCATGGAACCTTTTTTTCAATCAGGGCGTTTATTCTCGATGGATGCGTTTCGAAACGTTGGAGCATTTAGAGGGATCAGAAGTTCGATTATCTTCATCAGCAAGGCGATGTGGTTGAGAGCTCAGTCGTCTGCCTATAAAATATATGTAATTTCTTCATCAATTCCACCTTTGCCCAGCTGCTATTTTTGAGGAGGTACTTCTTGGGGGAGCACGAGAAGAAATCTGTTGTATTTTTTTGAGTGTTTTTATTGTACATTCAGGAATATTCTCCTAGGTTGATAGCGAGTCCATCTGATTGCGCCAGTGTGGCACGTCATTTTCAATTTCCGATTTGCTGAACCGTAAAAACTCGGTCGGATGGTTGCATGGTTGGCTGGGCCGATAGTGTCATCATTGACAAATTGGTTGAAAAACATGGAACTGGTTCATCTAATTGAGCATTTCCATGATTTGCCTTGTTTGCTTCATTTCCCCTGTTTGTGTTTCGCTTTTGTATTTTGCTTATTTGTTTGTCTTATGCTTATAATTTTAAATTTTAGAGAACATTTCCACCTCAGGAATTTTATTTTTGCCAAAAGATTATTAAATTTATTACAGTGAAAATGCAATTTAGGAATTTGTTACTCAGAATTGTATAACTGTTTTTATCCTTCGGCTTCATTCTCCATTTAATTCTTGTTGAGCTCCTTAATGCATGGTTTATTTCCTTTTCAATTTTTCCATTCGCTTCGGTCACTTTTTCAATTTTATTATTTTCAGCCGTTATCTGTGATTTTCAATTTTTTCTCACTCTTAAATATATAACTATAAAATGGAACTAAGATACATACAGAATCAGATGTTTCTCTACGTTAAGTTGAAGTAAGTCAATTTTATTTCTGATTTGATCACCCAGACCGGAAAACCAGAGGCGAAACCCAAAATTTTCTGTATGAATTTTTTTCCAAATATTACAATTGGTTTTATTGTTTTGTTTCTACTTTGCTAAATTGGATGTTCGCATTATTAGCAGTTATTTTTTATTTCATTAGTTTTCTTCTGTAGTAAATGCTTCAAACGTATGAATTGAAGAGTATGAATAAGTATATATTGAGAAGTATAAATAATGCAATTTGTCGTCGGATTTTCAGTGATACTTCTTAAAACTTTATTAAATTGTTGTTATTATATGTTTCCAAGTTTTCTACTTTATTTTGGCTTGTTTTCTAATGGACTTTTTAAAACCGTCCATTTCACTGATGCTCGATATTTTCTGCTGTTGTACTCAACTTGTATTCCATCAATGTTATTATCATTTAAATTTCTTTAGTGTTTTTACTCTACTTACGCGTTTATCTGCATCTTTTGCTTTGAAGTTCAGGTGTGAAATATTGTGTCATCGAAATTGTCTTAGATTATTCTTAACTTCTCTCACTGTCTTGTTACTTGTTATTTATCTGGACTCAGTATGATGGTTTTGCGCCACCTTTGTCTTGATTACTTGCAAACATACGTTTGCGAATATTTTGAAGTATCAGTATCTATATTTTTCGTTTATCTACTCAAGTTAATTTTCATTAAAATATTTTTATTTAATTTGTTTTCTTTTTCTTTAATCTTCGTTCAATAAATTTAAGGGTGGAAGTTGTGTTTCTAGTTGAATCTCATTTTCTGTGGTACTTTCCTATACATTTTTTGAATGTGCTTCTTGGCTTTATTTTTGTCTGATTCACTGTTTCCTTTTTTAGCTTATTTCTTCACTTTTTACTCAATATTCCTGAGAGTTTGTAGTTAATGTTTTTGGACTATTTTCTTC